ATGTTGATAGCTTGGCCTTACGTATTACCTTGCTTCTGACAACTATTTGTCTTGATTATAAGAACCAATCTAAAAAAAAAATAGTAATCATGTGAAGTAATGGATGAATTAGTTAACTTGATTGTGGTAATCATTTTACACTGGAAAAAAATTTCAATGTTTAGAAAGAGCAATCTCCATTTCTCTCCTGCTTCTGGTTTTCTTGGCTCATTGCACAGTCCAAACCCCTGTTTGATAACCTCTGTGGTATCACTGTTCTTCTACAAGCGGGGACCTGCATTCATGCTATCTCTTGGGTCTGCGGTCTGGTGACTAGAGTAACTTTCCCCTACCTGTGGGGATAGCTGAATAGAATCTGTCCCGGAAATCCCTTTGGCCACCATTCTGTCACTGTAGTCCTTTAGATGGAGGTGTCTCAGCTGAGAGAGCTCGCCTCAACTTAGTTTGTATCTACAGCATCTACTCTATCAGAGGAGACACATCCCATTCTAGACCCTCATCTTTCTCGCAATCTGTCCTGTCCCCCCTCCACTGGAGGGACAGATTCTTATATGACCAGACTCTATATGACCAGTTACAGATCTACTTCATGGAATTAAAAACTACTCCAACGTATTTGCAAGGTCAGGGCCTTTATCATTCTTCTGATCTCCCAGTATGGCTTCTGTTGATTTTCATTAATGTTTTGTTTGGTGTGTCAGAACTAAATGAACACATTTGCTCTGATGATGATGGAAAGATATCCTGCTCAGATCATTCTTAGTGAATTGGAAGATCATAATATTCTTTTGTAAAATGAACACTACGATGGCTGAGCATATCTGTGACTTAGCCAGCCTGCTAATCTGCCAATAAACCAATGTGGGCATCGCTACAGTGCTCCCATCAGGGAGTAACTAAGCATAGGGAGTAGCTAAGTGTGTTGCTCACTGAGTCACATTCTCCTTGCCTCAAATACTGTCTAGAAGTAAACATCGTCATAAGCCAAAATTAACTCCTTCAGGTTATTAGGCAGCTTAGCAGTGTTTAGCAAACTGTTTTGCCAACTGAAGAAAAAAAACCTGTTTGCACTGGTAATATTCAGACTGGCTGGTGATGAACTGGAAGCTCAGTAGAATGTGAAGTAGGACTTAGACTCTAAAGTTTCCTGTTTAGATCCACAGTATAGTAATTTTGAAGAAGTAGCTAAAAATCTTGAATATAATCAGAAGCAAAGAAAGAGTTGAGAATGGTGGTTTTTCAGTAAGGAAGTCCTAAGCCTGTGTTCTTATTTATAGAGCAAACACAGATGAGTGCATTGAAAAATACTTCAGAGATGACTAAGAATGTTCATGTGAAGCTAAAATTGTTTTGAGGTGGACCCTGGAATTGAGAGCTGGCTTCTAAAAGGTTGTGTTAGAAAGATTCTGAAATCCCAAGTAGAAATCAGTCTGCCCTTCCCAGGTAGTTTCTCTTTTCTTGACAGTAAACCTACTTCTCAGGAGAGCAGTTCAGAACGAACAGTGCCTGACACAGAAGAATCAAGACAAAACAACTTTAGCTGCCCCTAAGACTTGTAAATGAGTGGTGTTGAGTGTATGTTGTGTCCTTGTTACACTTGGAGTGTCTGAGTGGTGCTTTTTGCAAAATTGAGTGATAGGTCCAAACTGACAGATATATTGTAATTTGTACCAAGTAGATTCTTAAGTTAAATAATAAGAACCTTATCTTTTATGCTTCACATCTTTTCCTGATTCATTCTATTTGTAATCACAAAGTTTGCTTTTTCCCCCATTATAAATGAAACCTTGTAATAAGAGAAACCAAAGATTTGGAAAACTGTAAAGAGGGCAAAAGCAAACCCACCCAAAGTCCTAGCATCCACAAGCAATGTGACCTGCTATTGGTTGTTACTTTTTCCCCAAGTCCTTAACATATGCATTTTTTGATTCTATATATACTATTTATATTGGGTTTCACATTTTTACATAACTTCTAAACATAAGCTTTTTTCAAGCTATTGACAACTCTTTAGATACATTTTAATGATTATCTAATGATATGCAGTTTGCTTAGTTATTCAGCTAATGAGCACTTAGTTTGTTTCCATTTCTCCCCCTCACAATTGTCAGTCAGGCTGCAGTGAATGTCTTTGTTCTTTATCCCTCCTTGGCGTCTGAGAATGCATTCTGATAGTAACACCCCTCTGGTTCTGTTTTCAGTAAGAATGTTTACTATGTGACTAGCATTTATTCTTTCCATTTAGCTTTCTTTTTTAAAAAAAAAATGGCATAGCTAAAAGATTATAGGTTTTCTTACTGTAAACATGAAAAGAAGCAGAACAATATCACACACTCTCAGATATACTGTAGGCTTATCTATGGCTTAATATACCTTTACAATCCTGTGTTACTACAGGATGGAGCTATCTCGTAAGAAATCAGTTCTATAGAATTCACCCATGTAAGTCTACTATTAAAAGAACCATGCTTTACTACGCACAACAAACAACATAGCACAGAAACAGTTAAATAAAGGAATGTTTGAGGGGATCATTATAGTACTTTATGAACATAGCCTTTTATTAAGGAATATGTAGAACTAATGTCATGCAAATTACTCTAAGCTATGTGTTTTTTTAAGATTTTTTTTAATTATTCATTTGAGACACAGAGATAGAGAAAGAGAGCATGAGCAAAGGGAAAGGCAGAGGGAGAGGGAGAAGCAGGCTCCCCGCTGAGCCAGGAACCCGATGTGGGGCTCGATCCCAGGATCCTGGGATCATGACCCGAGCTGAAGGCAGACGCTTAACGACTGAGCCACCCAGGCGCCCTGGGAACTGCTTGATTTTATAATGGCATTGAATTGATATTAATTTCCTCACTTGTATGTAAGAGAACATACTTATCTGTAGAAAGTACACACTGAAGTATTTAGGGGTAAAGGGATATCATTATCAGCAATGTACAATCAAATGATTTGAAGAAACAAACAGAAAAAGAATGTGATAAGTGAAATAAAATGTTGACAACTGGGGGATGGTTAGGTGAAGGGCACATTTTTTTTTTTGTAGTTTGCAATTATTTCAAAATAAAATTTAAAAGTGTGTGTGTGATGTCCAGGTGTTTCTTCTTGCCCCCATTGGATGGCCTTGCACCTTCCTTGGGTCGTATACCCCAATCTGGGATCAACTGGCCCAGACTATAGTAATAATGTCCAGACTGTTCTCTTGGCCTCTTTTCCACACTCTTTTTGCCTAACCTCAACTCAGCAGTTAGTGACCTTCCTGAAGTCTAAATCTGATGATGTCACTCCCCTTCTTTAAAATCCTCTGTGACTCTAAGTTGACAAGAGAACATAGAAACTTTTTAGTTGGTCACATGAGGCTTTTTCATTGTTTAGTCCCATTTCTTCATTAATGATCTATGTTCCAGCCAAAAGAACTACTCCTCGCATTCATAACTTTTATTGCAAATAGTGTTTCTTCTGACTGGAATGTTCTTCCTTTGTCGCCTTTTCTACTCCTATTTAACCCTTGAGACTTAGCCTCAAAATTTCATCCTCTGTAGTCCCTGATAACCTTGCAATTAGCCACTTAACCCATAGCAACTATTTTATCACATTTTAATTATTTACTGTAGAAGTCTACCTCTAAATCCAACTGCTAGAGACTAGTGATCAGACTTACTCATCTCAGTATCTGTTGCAACCTGATCCATCTGTGGCAGTTAGAACAGTGCCTAGTACATAGCAGTGAATGCCTGTGGGAAAAATGAATGAATGAGTAGAAACCCACACCAAAACTACTGCAGAAGGTTTTATGTATTCTGTCTGGTGGCAAATACTTTACAGAAAGACCTGCTTAAGTGAGGAGATGTCCTTTATCCAAGATCAAATATTCAGTGTCTGAGGATAAAATACTGAAGTTAAAATTATATTACAGCTAGTGATGGAACTGGTAAAAAGACCCAGCGTTTGAGTACCCCTCCAGCCCAGCAGCCCTGACTGCCACATAGAGGAGGGCTGGATTATGACAGTTACTTACATTGCGTTTTCACGTGTGGCAGCTGAATAAAATCAAAGATTTTCAGTTAGTTGATGTTTGCAGTTGACTTTTAGTAAGTCTTTATAATCTTTAAGACGTTTACTTTTATTCCGATTTCATTTAAACTTTCTAAAATTAGGAGTGAGTGTTGAATTTTATTAAATTCCCATCTAGTGTTAAATAGGAGTTTTCTCCTCTAAGTTATAATGTAATCTTAGGTTGATTTATTGCTTGATTTTGGACGATTCTTGCATTCCTATACCATGCCTGCCATGGTCAAGACATTATTCTAATAGGAATGTATTATATCTGCTAATATTTCATCTGCTATTCTATATTTATCTTCATAAGAGTAAGAGGTAACTATTGTTTACATGTAAGTATTAAGCCATGTAACTCTTTGTTATGTGTCAGAAATCATTCCAAAAAGGCATGGAGTCGAACTTACCTCATAGGTTGAGTTTAGATATGGAAGTTCTAGCAGTTCTACCAAGTCAGAAATCCTGATAGTTAACATTTACTGAGTGCTTATTTTGTGTCACTCTTTTAACTGCTTTATATGTATTAACCCATTTACGTCCTATTGCATTCATATGAAACAGAACTTATTATCCCCATCTTGTGATTGAGGAACTGAGCCCTGGGATGCAAAGTCAGTTCAGGGTCACATGAGTGGTAAATGGTAGAGTCAGGATTTGAACTCAGGCATTCTGGCTCCAGAGTCTATGTTCTTCACAATTAGGCAGTATTCCCCAGCATGATACTGGGGGAAACACAAACCCCGGGAATTATTTGCTCAGAGATGGAATCTGATGTAATCATTGTTCACATGACTATTTAAGCAATGTAGAATATATAAGAGAAATACCATAACTACATATCATCTATTAATATAGTACTATAGATTGGGGGAATAACTGTAAGTATTTAACTACTTAAATATTACCAAAGTAACAACAATTTTTTTTCTTTTCAGCAATCTTGACACAGAAGAACTCTGTGGTAAGTTGTGGTATTTTGGGGGGAGGGGTGAGCAATCAAACTCACTACTTGTTTTAGGATGAAAAAGAACCTCATCTTATTTAAATTTCTACATACCCTGAAGTTAATGTCCTAGATTTGGAATATAGTAAAAGATAATTGAGATCTCAAGGGATTTATCTTCATCTGTGAGTTTTACTCAAGCATGTGTTTCAGTGGAGAAAGAGTTGGGGCTCATTAATTTGTTCATAGAGAAGAATTATTTTGCACTTGGTACAATTAGTTTAACAGTAGCAAATTCTCCCCTAGTTTGAATATATTTTTACATTGGTGTTTAATACAACTTCATTATTCTCTTCAAGTATGTTGCCTTTACTACTGTTTTTGCAAAATTGACCCCCTTGACATATAAAAACAACTTTGTTCCATACCTCCCTAAACAGTTCTGGAATGTTAAATGTCACTTGCAAAACGAGTTTCAGTAGAGAGGAATTTCTACAGATTCCTGACTTGCAGCCTCTTCATTTATTTTCTTCATCTTCATGGTTGGAAACAAAAGTCAAAGGCTAGGAATGTGGAAAAGGCCAACATTTCTGCAATTTTTTTTTGTTATGAAAAAATTATGAAGCATTCTGAGACTAGTGTGAAACAGCTATATTTCTCTGAACGCTGGGAGGTTTTAAGTTTTCTGTTTTAAGGTAATTATATAACACCTTGTCCAAGTTTTATTGATATTATTGTCTAGGTTTTTTAAAAATAATTTTACAGATGAGATTCTCTGAAACTCCTAATTGAAGTCACCGGTGCTTCCTGAACATCTTCTAAGTCTTACAAATTTAAAGTTTACCAAATCATCACAAAGTCCATTTTAGAGTATACAAGAGTGGTTATCTTTCATTTCATTAAATGGTAGAGTGACACTGAGTGAGGTTATGTCAGAAAAAAATATCAGAACACAAGGTTTCAGTAACTCTGAACAACACAAATATGATAATCACATAGGCTTTCCAATTTTCCAGTGGTCCTAAAACACTTTCTGTTCCTGCATAGTGTCTCTCTCCTATTCAGTGAAAAGAATCCAGCTGAAGAGCAAGTTGTTTACGCAGAAACAAGGTTTCTGGTACCAAAGCAGGTCATGATTTTGTTAATTATGAAACACTAATAAAGAAAAACCGGGAAAATCCTGACCTGCTTCTACACATAATCCAACCATGACCCATCCACACACGGGTATTAAACTGTGCCAAGTGGGCCAAAGGACCTGTGGGGACTATGGCCACCAGGCTTTCTAAAGAATAGCAATTACTATAAAGGTCAAGTTGTGGTCCATTCTCATCCATGTGCAGATGGTACCTGCCAGTGAAGTGGGGAGATAAAGAACTGAGATTATCTCGATAATTTTGTGAGGTTGGGAGACCCATTTGCCTCAAGTGTCTGGATAGGTCAGGCCAAAGTAATGCTTTCCTCAAATCATCCAGATAATTCTTTTTGTTTTCTACTCAACTTTGCCTGGGTAGGCATGGCTCATGAGAAAGCACACTGTTCTAAGGGCTTTTAACATAAGACATTTAGTGGTTCTTTATTTGCTATGTTGCTTATGTATTGTCACTAAGGCATATTACATTATCCTCTCTTAGTATGATTGTGTATCTTCACTTAATCCTCTACAAAAAAAAATGTTTAATTTGTTTCTATAATAATAGAACTAGATTAGGAACCTACTCTGCATTTACTGGAAAAAGCTTTGACTATGATTTTCCACATAGTAGGGAACTAGTATATGGGGTGTTTTGTTTTGTTTTTTTTTTTAAGAGAACATGCATACAAGCTGGGGGAGGGGGTGGGGCAGAGGGAGAGAGACAGGGACAGAGAGAGAGAATCCCAAGCAGCCTCCACTCTGAGTCAGAGCATGATGTGGGGCTTGATCTCAAGACCCTGAGATCATGACCTGAACTGAAATCAAGAGGCAGATGCTTAACTGACTGAACCACCCAGGCACCCCTAGTATATGGGGTTTTAATGCAACCAAATTGCTCTGTATTTTTAAACCCAGTGATTGTACTCCCAATCATATATGATAACCCTCCCCCTCTCTGTTCAAGAATATGCATTTTAATTTCCAGAGTATAGTTTCATGTCTTGTTATTTTGTAAATATAAAGCAAATATTTCAGTTGGATTCTAATCAAAACCAAATGCTTTAGTGCAAGCAAGTAAAATCTGTCAACTCACACCCCGTACACATTCCCCCTTGTGCATGGAAGGAATGGCACTTGATCAGTATGGAAAGCAGATTTCATGTGCTCTTTCCTAGAAGCAGTTAAAAGGTCCAGGTATCTAAAACTTCCGTTCTGTTGCTTTTACTTAGTTTGTTCTTTTGCTAAATTATGGGCCTAGAAATCAAAAGCTATCAAAATTAAGATTTAGTTATGAAAATAATACTTAGTTTTTAAAATCTAATAATACAGAATTACATAGGCATTTAAGATGGAATGTCAGTCACCTTTCCCCCCCCCCTTTTTCCCTAATCTCTGCTGCTAATTGCTTGGAGCATCTCCTTCCAGATGTTTTTATTCATAAATTGACATCATACATATGCTATGATAGATAATTTTTCCAACAGTGAGATCATACTATATGATCAGTACAGCTGCACACTGTTCGTTTTATTAGAAAGGCTGCACATGTGCTGCATTTACCTTCATTTTTTTCAATCAAATCCTTTTTTGTGGATTTTCAGGTTGTTTCCAACTTTTCACTTGGACAAACAGCATTGAAGTAAATATCTTCATTTGTGTTATAGTCATACTCTTGTTTGAGTTGTTCTATATGGTAGATGCCTTAGGTATAATTACTTGGCCAAAGATTCTTCAGTTGGCACTTCCACCAGCAGTGTGGAGGCATGCCACGTCATTCACTCTTCCCATAATTAGGGAGGCCTGCCCAAATAGAAGCTTTAGGCCATATCTTATCAGTCAGTATATAACTCACCTACAACTAGGTTTATGTGTTTGAACTCTAGCTTTGAGTCTTTGGTTTTCTGTTCATTCCATCTTTAGCTGTGATCCTAATCTATCAGGAGTAAAATTATAATGTTCCTGACCCAACCCAGAGCTGAAGGATAGAGGCTGAACAAATGACCTTAGTGTGACCCCTGGGCAGTGCTGAGAGGTACCTTTGCCAGCCAAGTTGAATGCTGGAAAATCAGAAGTCACTATTCCTCTTCCAGACTATTAGAACTGTGGCTACCTGGCACATTTATAAAATCACCAAAAAAGAGGGGAACCTGGCTGACTCAGTCTCAGCTCAGGACTTGATCTCAGGGTTGTGAGCTCTAGCCCTGCGTTGGGCTCCAAAAAAAAAAAAAAGAAAAATGCCAAAAAAGAGATGTAAAACATTTTGCATGACACTGATATTCATTCTCTCAAAATAACCCACATTCTTAGATTCCGAACTGACACCTCTATTCAGAGCATGGGTGTTCTCCCCACCTCTCTGTTCTCTGTCATCTCAGTATTTTCCTCCCAATCTAGTATACTGCTTGGGAAGCTATAGGGAGGTACGTACTGTAGGATTTTCATCTAAACTCATGAGAGTGCTTTGTGAGATCAGGTCCCAGTGTGGCCTTGGTGGAGGGTATGGGGCTTTGGTTCTGATTTGAAATTCTTAGGCCAAACCTGAAAACACAACCACCTGGAGGATTAAGAGGCAGTCTAGGAAAACAAAACTTGGTGATGTGACACCACCAGTTAAGTACAGTAGGGAAGGGAGAAACTAACCTTTGGTTAGCATATTATTAGCAAAGATGTTGCATTGAATTTCCACGAGGAGATAATTTGCTTTCTGATAGGCAACTTGTCGAATAAGTCTGTTTATAAATCATGCTCTATTCTCTTATAAAACAACGTTCAGACTCTTACCGTTCAAAGATTCTTCACTTAAACTGATGAGAATTGGTTGTCACACATTTCCATATGTGCTATACAATTCTGCTTTGCTCTTGCCCATGGAACTCACATGCAGTTTTCAATAAAAGTAGATTTCTCCAGGAAATTATTCTAGTTCTCCGAGGACAAGAGTTTTTACTTTTTTCCCCACACAGAACAAGGCAACTCTTTTTATTTTGTCTTTTGATACTATATCAAATCATATTATAGACTTTAAGAAAAAGTACCCTACGCGCAAAAGATGTAAAAAGAGTTCCACGTATAATGGATTCTTTGGGGACTGTCCTGAGACCATGCAAATATTCAGCATTTTATCTGTGCTCTGTAGATAGTGAGTTGAAGGGATAGATGTCACCCTGAGGGGGTGTCCCCATCTTCACTCCTGCTTGGCTTCACTCTGACCCTTTGGGGCACGTGTGAAATAAAGCTCTGAGCCCAGGCCTGCTCTGTGAAGCTGTCTCTGATTCCCTGCAGAAGGACTTCAGCATTCTTTGACCTGAAATTTTTTTTTGGGGGGGATGATTAATCCAAAAATATCTTTATTTCACAGTAGGGTACTGCAGTGTGTGATTTGAGATCTAATCCACATAACATTAATTTCAGGTATATAACAATGATTTGATATTTGTTTATATTATGAAATGATCACTACAGTAAGTCTAGTTAACATCCATCACTACACAGTTTGTCTTGTAAGAAGAACTTAAAAAAACAAATGATACCCAAAGTTAGTAGAATGAAGGTATTAACAAAGATCAGAGCAGAAATAAATGAAATAGAGACCAAAAAGACAATAAATCAATGAAAGTTTTCTATAGTGACTGCGCCAATTTACATTCCCACCAACAGTATACAAAGGTTCCCTTTTCTCCATTTTTTTAAAGATTTATTTATTTATTTATTTATTTATTTATTTATTTATTTATTTATTTATTTGACAGAGACACAGCAAGAGAGGGAACACAAGCAGGGGGAGTGGGAGAGGGAGAAGCAGGCTTCCTGCTGAGCAGGGAGCCTGATGCGGGGCTCTATCCCAGGACCCTGGGATCATGACCTGAGCCGAAGGCAGACGCTT